TCTCTTTTCCTTCCTTGCCTCCTTCCTTCCTTCCTTCCTTCCTTCCTCCAATGACCTCAAGGCATTGTTTTCCTACTCGCCTCACAACAACCCTGTGAACTAGGTTAGGCTAAAAGTGATTGAGGCCCCCCCACTTTGGGATTCAAACTCAGGTCACCTGCATCCTGTCCCAGCACAGAGACAACGGCACCACACTGGATCTGTCTGGCTTCTTTCAGGCAGAGACCATTCCAGCTGGCCTAAAGGGAAACAGAACCGGGGTTTGGTAGTTGGGTCTTCCATTTTCTTTAAGTCTCAGAGATGGAAAATATATATCATTTCAAATGTGGATACACTGCATTCAGAGATGAGAAAAGTTACTATTTTGGAGTTCAGCTCCCAGAATACTCATTCTGGTTGAAGTATTCTGGGAGTTGTAGTCTAAAAAATTGCATTGCCCATTTTTGAACTCCCATCCTCCTGGTTGGCTATGGTAGCAGGAGCTGATGGAAGTTACAGACTGACGTCTGAAGGACCCACCCCCTACTTTACATGGTGTCAGAGGTAGTTTTGTCCCTGATAACCCCCCACACACATACACCGGTGACATAACCACAGGCACCCGCCAGCCTAAAGAGACAGACTAAAATGGCCTTGTTCTCTCTGTGCCCTGATTACAGGCAGACATAAGATCCAGAGAATACATCCGGAAACATTTGGAGGCCACCTTCACTCCGTTACCTAAGCCAGAGAGGTAGGTGTGGGGGTGGGTGGATGTCCGTGCGTTCCCCTCAGGCAATCTCCTTTTTAATGCTCTTCGATAATGGCATTAAAGGGACAAACCAGGGTAATATGGCAAGAGGAAAGAACAACAGGGCCCGCTCAGCCCCCCGGGAACAGCTATTTCTGGCAGAGCACCATGCGTTGTGGCGTGTGTTCTGTGCAAGTCATGTGGTTTCCTTGGGCAGGGCAGGAACCTTGGGAAGGTCACCAAGGATTTACCTCCTTCGAGCGAACATGCCAGGAGCCATTTTGATAGTGCAAGAATATCAGTACTATGAAACGTTGAGCTTTGTGTAACTGCACAGCAAAAATTGGGGCAGTTGTAGGATTAGAATTATAAGCAAGTTCCCAAGAATTCCCCCTTATATAAGTAGACCAAAAATGGTTAAGCCCCCTAGTAGCGGGAGGGAAAGAGAGCTGTTGATTAGTTGCTTAAGAACAAGTAAACAAACAAGTTAGATTTGCATACATGCTGGGTTGTTACATATTTCAACATGAAACGTGTGTCAGAACTGCAAAAGTTCTGGTTGTTGTGGTGCTGGTACTATACGGGCATCTGTGCTTTGGTAAATCCAGAGTAAGTCCAGGAACATCCACGGTATTTTGCTGCTAGAAGCCAGCACTTGTGCCATGACTTGCAGTCAGGACCAAAACAGGGCAGCTGAAGACATTTTGCTGCCTAACATAGAGGACAAGAAGCTGCCTTCAACTCAGTCCTGGTGGAGAAGCTGGCTGCCTTGGCAGTTGAGCTTTCCTTCAACACCACAGTGGTATAGGGTCTTCTGTCACACTTGAGGGCAACAGGCCAATTTAGGAAAAGCAGCTGGCTTCCTCTCTGCTCTCACATAAAAAAGTCCAGGAGGACTCAAGAGGGACAGCTGTGCAGCTGACACTGACCCTCACCACCACCAGCCCCACCTGAGGCTGCTTCCTTATGGGCCCTAATGACAAGGCCCTGCCCGCCTCCCTGCCTGGCTCCTGAGACTTTAGCCCAATCCCTGGTGCAGCGGCGAAGCTGGGGAGCTGCCAGTTCTTCAGCTCCCTCCCACTGCACCACCCACCAAATTTTCTTCCTTGGAGACAAGGCAACGATTCGGCTTTTGCTGTGGAAACCCTTTTGCAAGCAAGAAGCCCCTTGTGGGTGCCTTCTCTGGGTTACCTTTTGGTTCTTCTAGTGCAGCGTTTGCAGGGCTTCTTTTCTGCACACGCCTGGGGAGTCTGGGTTACTGACCTCCACGACAGCATCCAGCCCGTGGAGAGTCATGTGCATAAGCGACCACAAGCTGTGTAGGTGGCCAGCCCGGTTTCTCCTCTTGTGAAGCGGAGGGTAGGCGCTGTCAGTCCAAGTCTGCTGCATTACTGAGAAGCAAGTCTCCCTGAATTCAGTGCCACTTACTAGAAAGTAAGCCTGTTCAGGACCAGTGATTTTCTTCCCTAAGCACACAATGGCAGCCACCTGCAAGCGCAGAAGCCTGCCACAGAAACAGTTACTTCAAATAAATAATCTCCTGGTAATGCCTTTGTTTCAATACTGAAAATCTTACTTGAATGGGCTAATTAATTGGCTAACAGGGAGGCTGTTGATGAACTTTTGGAAGACGTCCTCTGATTAACTGGCAGCTTTCTAGCTCTCTTTCTTCCCCTCTTCCCTCTCCTCAGGATGAGTGGAGACAGAGAGGCTGAAGATTAGCATGGCTTCAAAGGTGGGTCTCCAGATCTCCCATTCTGGACCAGGCAGAACTCATCGTCGTGATCATGACAACTCTTTCCCCAGGTGGAGATGCAGCGAGGAGGTGCATGCGCAGGGACTTGCCTCAGTGGCCTTCAAGTACTCCAGTTCTCCCATCTCCTTCCCAGGGCGACTTTCCATATCGGGTGGCAGGAAAACGGCATTTCTCCCTGAGGGTCCAGACTGGGTTTCATGTGAATGACTTGAAAACAACAGTGGGTGCATCCATTGCAATGTAAACTGCAGATGTGGAGAAATCCGCGAAAGCTGTAAAGGAGCCTTCCCTCAACCTGGCACCTTCCAAAGATGCAGGACTACATCTCCTCTCATCCCCATCTTGCACAGTCTTTCTGGAGGAGGAGAGTGGTGGGCTGTGATCGTTCAGCATACCTGGAGAGCACCAGGTTTTGGGGTCTAGGAGGGTAGGTTTAACTCTGGGGACTCTTGCAGTTGGGGCATTTGTACCACCTTAACGCCGCCACCCAGGGTTCAACTTTATTCAGGTTGTTAACTTACCAGGATTCATGTCCACCCGATGGGGCTTTGGAAACAACACAGGAGATGCTAGCCTGACTGGGATGGCATAGACCTTGAGCCCAGGTTAACAACCAAAGCCTTAGGTGGTATTGAAGTGAGAGAGGTTTCTTTGCCAGCAAGAGGGCACAAGTGGACCAGTATTCCCACCACTGTCGCTGCAGTGCCATCTCTTTATCTCTGCCATTTCCTATCCTTTGACCTGTTTTTCTGCATGAGTGGGTGGGTTTTACCTCCTTAATGGTTAGGGAAATACTGTGGCATAAAAACACCACTAACTGGCTTTTGGATGCACTCGCTGGCATCCTTTAAAAATGAAAAAGTAAACTTCATTCTCAGAAAGGAAATGGCAAAAAAATAAATCAAGGGCTCTGGGAGGCACAAGGAGGTACCGGAGCACATAGAAAAGCCCCTCTAAATACCAAGATTAAAAAACAAACAAACAGAAATCAACAACCCAGAGATCCAAATTGGGGGACTGGCATTAAGGTTAGGATTTAATGGAAAACTTGAAAAGCTGCCAATGGACCATCTGGAAGAGTTCTGATGCTTTGTCTACATAGCTCTTTTGGAGTGGGCTAAAAAGGGTTGTATAAGATTGGATAGAGGTCCTGTATGCCGTTTGGTGCAATCCTTGCATCCAAATGACGTATGCCTCTCAAGCAACCCTATGTGGTCTGCCTCCTTTAGGAAAAGAAAAGGGAAAACCTTTCAGCTTCTGGGACTTCTTTTTAAAAAATTGTATAAGAAATATAGCCCATCTGCACTGTGCTAATAGTTTTTTTAAAAAAAAATCTATTTTCCTCTGCCCCTCTAGAGAGGATGAGAGGAAGTATTTAATTTCTCAGTATGTTGAAGTGTCTAAGTGTCTGATCACCAGCAAAAGGAGCAAACCAGCCCATCTCCACAGCAGACCAAACAGTGGGACAAATGCCGATTTAATTGCACCCCAAGTCTTTTCCAGATATAGTTCCATTTCTTCTATTAAAATGCATTTTGCCTTAAAAGGATGCTGAATGGCACCCATGGGGACTTGCCTTTAAATGCAAATGGAAGCAATTTTTCTTGAATCTGAGGATGATGAGAAGTCTGTTCGATTCCCCTTCTTGGCCCCCCCTTCTTTCCCAGGGCATCTTAAGTCTCCCCTCGGCTGCTGCCTACACCACTAATGTCATTTTTAGTTTGGCCCCCCAGTCCCAGTCCTTGTGGAAAGGGTACCTGCATAGTGCCGATGTTTGGCACATTTAAACATTCAGTATTTGGCGAGACCATGCTATACATGTGTGAAGAAGTCCCACGTCCTGCTGACTAAGTGAAAGCTGAGTAGCACTAATGATGGGAAGGACATGGCCTGGCCATAGAAACTTCTGTTCTTGCTTCTTCTTTTTTTAAAAAAACTTACTGATATAGCCACTTTGAGAGCAAGATATCTATTACTTGTTTTCCTTCCATCTGTAGTATTTTAATAGTTAGGTTTTGGGGGCCAGTATCCTGTTCCCTGTGGGTGGAACAGAATCTTCTACCCACACAGCTTCCGTGCGATCTCTGTCTTAGAGGAGGTGGTCGTGAAGAAGCCCTCGATCCATCAACGGTCCAGCCGCTTGAGCAACATGGTGCTGCATGAGTCAAAGGATGCCGTAGGAGCCTGTTCATAATTGATAAGTGAAATGCTGTAAATAAATCTTAACTGATAATTCTGTAAATGATGGCATGTGTACCCATGTGTGCAGTTTGCTAATAGCGAGCTTAGCAAGCATGGCTCTTAGCATCTGTGCTTCCTTCTACAGTGAAGAAGCAGGCTTAGTTCTAATTGAAACTAAGGCAAGAAATTCAGATTCTGAAGAGGGAATTTTATTAAGGGCTTTGAATTACTTGAGCAACATGATCCTGGTCACATGTGTTTCTTTCTGTCTCTCCCCCTGCCCTCCCTCTGCCTTTTGCTTGATCTTTTTAGTGATACCAGGTCCCTTGGGCTCCTGGTTTGTTACCCTCCCCCTCCATTCTATCTGCATGATTGTTGCTCTCACTTTCACACCTCCCTGGGGAACAGATGCTGAATCCCCAACTCCTGATGGTCCTGGCAGATGGATGGAGAGAGGACTTTTTGTATCTGGTGGGTGTGTAGCTTGTGGAAGCCAACAATCTGCTGCCTTGTTTTGTAGGAGGCTTCAAGGCAGACACTGAAATCCAAGCTTTTCCTGGTACAAATCTTTCCTGGTGGATCAGTCACCCCACTCTCAGCTTGCAGGGTGAACCACATTTCATCCCCATGATTTGATATTACAATGTGCAGCATGGTCTCTTGGCAGTTCTGAGCATCCTGCTGTATGTACATTAGAAAAGATGTTGCATTGGCTATGCATGTATCTGCCCTGACATTAACAGAGGTTTGGCCACAAATTTGTCTAAGAAGCCCCCAAGGAATACACCGTATCTGTCATCTATAGAAGCTGTGCAGGCCCCAGCCAGTGCTTGGGGTTTCCAGTTTATCTCTGTCCTGAGATCTTCTTTAGATCAGTTTGCTCAGTGTCAGCTAATCTTGACCTATGACGACATCCAAAGGCTCTTCTCCCCTTTTGGATCTGCTAATACGCCATGATCCCATCCCACAGTACACCTGTTGCCCAAAGCCTCTGCTCTTTTCTTCCATGTAGAATTAAGCCAATGTCTCTTGATTCTGACCTGCAGGCCCTGTTTCACACTCTCACAAACCCCAGCTGCGCAGCCCAGACCTCCTCTCCAATCCCATCCCACAGGCCATCTGTTATGCCAAACTTTGGTTCTCCTCCTCTTTTCCACTTCTCGTGATCTGCCATTCCACCTCCTCTGATACCATCACCGCTGCCACCCACTTCCTAAATACAATCTGTAGCTTCCTCTGATTCCCCCTACCATGGATTATTGCACAGCATGTGCTATGCGGATGACATGAAATCCTAGGGGGTCGGATGTCTGTCCCAATGAATATCACAGTCCAGGAGCATTCAAGATGTCTGGAAACTTAATGCAGCCTTGCAGACATCCACATCCTCACCAGCCTTTGCTAGCAGATACCCTTCACTCAGCAAAGTGGCACAAAGGCCCAGGGCTGTCAAGGAGCCAGCAGGAGTGAGAAGTGCCTGCAGCTGGCATGTTGTTTGAGGACAGCCACCATCTCAGCTGCCAGGTGTTGAAAGGGGAGCAGCTCAGCTGGGATCCAAAGCTGGGATTGAAATAAAGGGACTGAGATACGGTTTTGTGTGTGTGTGTGTGTGTGTGTGTGTGTGTGTGTGTGTGAGAGAGAGAGAGAGAGAGAGAGAGAGAAATTGTTTCTGCCACCCAATGATTTTGTTATGGTGAAGGATCTGCAAAGTGTCATTAGCAAACTCTGCCTGCAAAGGCAAATTCATTCTGGCTCAGTGAGTTTATGCCATCTGTGCACAGCTGTTGAGGTGGCAGTGGCTGAGCCCCTGGGCTATCCACCAGATGGGTCTATCCATCATTCCGGTGCTCCACTGTTTCCCACCAGCAGCTATACAGCAAAGGAAAGTAGTCCAAAACTGTTCAAAAGAATGGGAAAGAAAGAATGGGAAGCCCCAGTTGACCACTGCTGACATACTGGAAGAGTCCAAAATGGGCAAGGGGCTGAAGATGAACGAGGAGAATATGGGACTCTTGGACAAGACTGAAGACAGATTTAGGACATCATGGGGAAGGGGGAAGCCTCCAACTCACCACTCCTTCATGCCTTTGAATGTTCTAGACACAGGATGCTTTGGGAGCTTTGAACAATAGAGGGGACACTCACCAGTTCCATCAGCCAGGTGCTTCGTACCTCCTGCCCAGGCAAGACAGGGCTGAGAAAGCCATGCCCCTTCATTTATTTTCCACATTCTGCAAAGACCAGGAGCAACGTAATGCTCTTTTTTTTTCTTTTTCAGAGCTGATTGCTGACACTTCGATTCCTCCCTTTTCTGTCTTCTGCTTTGGGTCAGAGATGGGAAATTTTATTTTCAGCTTCTCTGGCATTCTCCTTTCTTTGAGATCTCAAACGTTTTGTGTCCTGTCTATGAATACATTTGCAATAATAGTAAAGTCTTTCAAGATAAACTGGATCACAATTGTCAAGTTTCTGCAGCAGTCAGATTCAATAGGTTGTGTGTGTGTTTTTTGTTTGTTTGTTTAGTCGTTAAGTCATGTCCGACTCTTCATGACCCCATGGACCAGAGCACGCCAGGCCCTCCTGTCTTCCACTGCCTCCTGGAGTTTGGTCAAATGATTCAATAGGTACTGTACCCTAATTGCCAGGCCACAAACTTCAATGTTCCCCCATTTCCTGCCAAACCAAATTTATTACAGCAAATATTTACTGGGCATGCAGGTCTTTTTATCTACAAAACCCTGGAGAGGATTGCTGTAAGAGAGAATTGATTTGACAGCACTCAGTTATTATTATAGCTTATGCTGAGGGATGATGGGACTTGCAGATCAACAGTAGTTAGTGAGACACCCATTTCCCATACCTGATGTAAATGAAAGTAGTTTTGTTCCTTATCAATTCCTTCTTTCATCCTCCTCTGTAACCAAAAAGGCACACTCTTATCACAACAAACCATAATTTGTCTTAACTGTTGTTGTTTTACTTAACACAGAGATTCTGTAGCAATCAACTAAACAAACCATGACCTGTCATACTTCTTTCTGGTTTCTTTCTCTCCTTCCCCTTTTATTAGTTCATGCTGCTAGACGGGCAGCTGAAGAATCAAACCATGGTTGCATGTTTGGACGTTGTGACAAACCATGGTATAACCAAAATACAGTTTGTATGGCAATGGACCATGAATGCAGGTTGTGATTTGTGGTGGGTTAAGAAACTAAGCCTTATTAGCAGAGATGGGTTTGAGCCCCGCACGCGAGAGGTTGTGAGAGACATCACAGCTTGTCATGAATTA